TAAGGTCTTGCAATTTTAGCTTTAAAACAGACAAAACCCACCAAGAACTCAGAAATGTAAACTATTTGAAGTGAAAGCCAGCAGTAATCTAATTGATATAAACATGTGATTGAAGATGATAATACAGCTACTGAAACTTCTGATTTTGGACAGTAAGAAAGCAGATGGAAAATAAAATAATAGTCAAATTTAAAACTAAAATTTTACTGTAGAGTTGAGTAACTGGTTGGTGTTTGGAAACTAAGTTTTAAGTGCAACTTAAGCATCTGCAAAAGGGAACTTGTGTAAGGGTATAGATTTAGTGCTACCAAAAAACATCTTGGAGGAAAATCTGCCTTCTTTTGCTACTGACACACAAAAATATCTATGAGGCAGTTGGGTAATGCTAAATCATATTAATCTATGTGAGGCTTAAAAAAGTAGGTCTCACTGTGATAGCACTAACCGTGGAAAGCCTAAATCACTTAATTTTCCCTTGCAATTTTACCACATCAATAATTTCCTTTTAATGTGATTATAGCTAAGATGGACAAGTAGGGCCTACAGTTACTCTTAGTGTTCTACTAAACTGCTACTTATTGCACAGCTTTTTAATGTTATACTGATTTTTTTATCTATACTGTATAATTGAGGCCTATGAAAAAAATTAAAATTGAATTATAACTTTATAGTACAATAATCCTTAATGGGATACCATTTCCATAGTTCCACATCCCAGACATATTTTCCAATAAGAATAGTGTTCCCTTATCCTAAGTGCATGAGCTGACTTGAAAGCTAGTGATTTAGAGCACCTTGTTTTCAGCTGGAAACCATTTCAGTGCAATCAGCTTCAGATAATCCCTGGCAGGTGCTATAACGAGGACAACGTTTTGTAGCCCAGGTGCAGTTAATACAAGTAATGTCACTTTGGCCTGATGTGCAAGGCTGGGGTAGCAACTGCACCAACAGAGACAGTCCCAAAGACTTGTGCTGCTGCAGCCTAAATGAGTAACAAATGTGGAAATCCTCACACTGAAGTTTTGAGTCTCTTACAAACTGACATACTTCCAATGCACATTAAATTGTTTCAGAAGTTACAGCACTGGAAGTGCGGCACTTGAAAGGTTTTATAAACAACAGAGAAGCTGTCATTCATCTTTATTTATTCTTTTCTATCCTCCTCCTGAACTATAAAAGAATGTAAAATAAAGTTCAAAATTGCCATTAGCATCCTTATCCTATATTTGTACGAGAATTACCATTACTGGAATGTTCTGGGAAGGATATTTTAAAGGAAAAGAAAATAAAAAATCCCGGTTTTGTAATAGTATACTACCAAAGTACAAATCTGCTTGATCTGTCCATTAGAGATTGATTTGAGCACGTGATGTTTGTTTCGGCTTGGCTGCTGCTAGTGGGGAGTGGAAGTTGCTGAGTAAAAAATTGTCATAATATGTCATAATAGAGTGTGATTATTTCAGTTTTTCTTCCCCAGTTTATTTCCAGTTATAGTCAAAGCTGACAATATTGACACTAGTGATGAATGCTTACAAACCCATGCAGATGTTCGGGATTGCCTATTACAAACAAATAAGCATTCAGAAGATGTCGTTATTTGTCCATATGTGGCCACACTGCAACTGCTTTATAATTAACTGCTTTACAATGGAGCCTGCAGTGCGATTTAATTTTACAAGAGGTGCTGCGAAAATGCAAATCATCGCTGAAATACTAGACCAATTTTAATGTAATTGTGCAGCAAAATTGACAGGGAAAACATCTATTAAATAAAAGTTTCAGTGTGACTTTTGTTGTCTATTAAAGACTTCTTTCAATAAACCAGCCTGAAGAGCCCTCGTGTTTATCTAACCTGTGCCTTCCTGTGCATGTAACTGTGTTCTCTTGGTAAATCACGGCAACAAAATTTGTTATTTTGATCCTTCCCGCTGGGAGATGTGGAAGCCTGCTGGTTTGATGCATGGTGCATCAAAATTTTTACCTGGGCTGCTTGCTCAGCTTTCTGGATCTAAATATTGTTGGACTTTTCCAGAGGCTTTTCTTCTGGTTCTACAGCCTGTTGTTCCTGTGATCTGTGTTGGTTCAGAGACTGCAGCTGGACATTATGTTGCAGGAATGGCGAATCAGTGTGATTTTCAGGCCCTCCTAAGGCATTTGTCATTTGTTTTCAAGCTTTTTGTTGTTCTACCACTTGCAATTAATGCTTTTCTAATTATAGCTGTGATTGCCTTATTTTCTGACTTAATGCTTGTTTGAAGTTCTCCTAATCTATTCTTGTTTAAGTTCTTAGTTTCAAAAAATTGTAGCAATGCATTTGCCTGGAACATGATGCATTCCTTGTGCATAGTTCAGTTGCCAGGACAAATGATTCCCAGCAGTATCTTCTTGGTGTTTGTTGCTCAGAATTCCTGCAAATCATGTGTCATCTGGAGGCTTTGTTCAGTATTGATAAATTGTTTTCTGCCAGGTAACTGATTAGTTTTACTAGATCTGAATAGAAAATTAACAATCATTTGTCTAAACTGGACCCATCCTTGTGTCAGCAGGCAGTGGACAGGTAAAAAGCTGTCTGGCTGTGTCTGTCTGTGCTGAGTTTCTACGTGGCACAAACAGAAGTGTATTCAACTGCCTCATTTACCTGCTCTGCTCAGCAGTCTGGTCACAGCCCAATGTCCTCCTGAAGTGCAAACCAGTTAAATGATTTTGTCTGCCTGTGAACATTATGCCTCCAAATTTAAGAGTGCTCCTGACCTTACCTACCTTCAGTTAAGACAATAAAAGCTGTTTTTTTCTGTTCCCTCTGAATCAACACTGGCACTCTCCATCTGACTTTGAGGTTAATTACCTTAATAATTCCTAAGGTTAATTATTACCTAGTATTTCCAGTCTAGTTAACAGCTGCAGAATGGAGTGGAACCATTACTAGTATCACTTGGTTGATTTACCTTACAATAAAAAAAAAAAAAAAAAAAAAATAGTTGTGAAAAGGAAAAAGGCTGAACCTGCAAGGATGCAGCCTCAGAGATGAGGGCAGGGGAAGAAAAGCCTCTTCACACTTAGTTTGCATCATGTGCACTCAGCTGTGTGTATCAGAGAGAACATTTTTCTCCTCAAATAAAAGAGCACTGTTCCAAAAGTCCAAGATAATTAAATAGTAATGTGTAGACCAAGGGATGACACTGAAATATAACAGAAATACGCTCCAACAACTTTACTTAGTAAACAGGCTGCTACTGTCCTTTGTAAACTGTATCTATAGAATGTTACTGTACATTTTTATTTTGCGACTTAACTGTTTTTGTACAAGTGTCTTTTGAATTACTTAGAATCTGGCAAGAGTGGTAGAGCCTACACTAACTATTTTAACCTGTGCTTAACAGCCATGAACTGAATTAGCATTTTTCAGGTTAAAACAACGTTCTGCACAGGGGTTGTGAAATAGCTGAATAATGAGCTCTCATTCTAATAGGCCTGTGCAAGTGTGCAACTCCTATGTGGGGGCAACCAATCGCATAACAGATTATATTTCAAAGATTTGTTGGGCTAAATGTAAGCTTCTATATGGTGGCTTTTTTTTTTTTGGGGGGGGGGTCTGTTTTCGTGTAGTGTGGTTTCTCAGTAACTCCTTTAATTCAGTTTGCAAAGAGTTGTGGTAGCACTCACTCTGTGCCTCAGAAGGAAATGCCTTTACTGAGGAAATTCAAAGGTTTCCCTTTTTTTTTTTTTCCCCTCTCCTGGTGGTTTGGGGTTTTTTTGCTGTGGTTGTTTTCCCCTTCTCCTCCTGCCATTTGATGCAAAAGACCTTGTAATCCTGATTTATGAGCTGCTATAATTGGAAATATATTCCTTTGCCAATGGTCTGTTATACCCTGATAATAGTATGAGGAATAGGAATCAAGTCTTTTCAAGCCAGTGAACGCCTAGATTTCAGGGAACCCCCTGTAATCCAAAGATGATAGTGTGAGCCAGTCTTCTCTGCTTGAGTATATCTGAATTGTTGCAGAATGCAGTTTAGTATTCTGTTACAGCAGAGAAAATCAGCATATAAAAATACTTCCATGTGCTTTGCTGTAGTTACTGTCTAGCATCTGCTTATTTTTTCTCTGTATATCAACTATATGTGTGCTGTGATCTCACTTTACAGTCAAATCACCATCAGGTCAAGGGACTCTTTACTGTGTACATTCTGGTTTCTTTTATCAACCAGCTGCCTAAGTAGAGAGTGGCACAGTATTTGGAAATAAGCAGGGAAATATGGGGAAAAAATAAATTTTTCTACCCTTATCTTCAAGTCTGGTGAAAATAAGACAAAATTATTAATTATCAAACTTTAAAAAAAATTTCAACTTCAATATTTTATTTTAACATTCAAAACCTACAAGAGAAACAGAGCTGTTTGTAACAGCACTATCAGATTTTCTTAGACTGTTACTTTTATTTGCCTTTTGGAAAAAGTGGGCTGGAGTTGAAAATAGACTGAAGTAATGTAAAAATGCATTAGTTGATTATCTTTAACCTGATCATCTCTGTAAAAACTGTTAACTTAGCTCATGGTCTCTTGTCATTCATCAGATATAAATAAAATAAATCTTCCATGTTGAGGCCTAAATAGATCATAATGAAGTGCTTTCCTCCATTATTTTCCACAGCTTGTTTGGATTTAATATTGACAAAGCAAACCATTCACTGAAACAGTCCTTACTAAACAGCTCATATTGAGTCAGAGGATAAGAGAGTGTGAAATTTGGATCAGCCGAAACCAGCACATCCTGCTAAGTGTAAAGTTACCCTTATGCAAATTACCAGGATAAGCTTCCATAACTCGATGTCAAGAATAACTTCCACAGAGCTAATATATTCTAGGATATAGAGAATACTATATACAGAAGAAATGGATGATGGAGCTATTTGACTTTGACCCACTTGCCCACAGTGGGTCAAAGAGCTCTTTTAGTTATTTCTTTTCATGTTCTGACTATTTTTCCCCTCCCTTTCTCCAGGAGAAATACATTCCAGGGTGATGGAGGTAATTTTGCAAAAGCACGATGGGCCAGGGCTATACAGAAGGTAAGAATAGCTCTTAAAGCTACTGATGTGTTACTGTAATTCAAAAATTTCCTAGGTTTGAGGGAGAATTTAGTATAAGGTTTGTAGTTCATATAAACTGCTACTTAATTACAGCAGGACCTGAGGATGTGACTGCTGAGTTTCTGGTTGTAGAGACAGTCCCTTCCATTGGTTCTTAAATCCATGTTGTTCCCTCACCTCAGGATTTTTGACTTCTGAAACAGAAAGAGGACGAGATTCTGAAACTTTAGATGCATGAGGAGTGATTGTAGATTGGCCTTCTTATCTGTATTGTATATTAATCCAGAATCGATAACCTCAGACATCTTTTTTTGAATAATTTTTGATGTTGAGAAACATCAGTACTTCAATAATATTTAATAAAAATTGTTTAAGAAGATTTTTTCCTAGAAAAAAATATTCTAAGTTCTACTGATGATACTACTGCCTAAATAGGGATTTTTTTTAATTAGATGTGATAATTAAGAGAAATTATTACTATCACTTCATCTGTTTATGTGGTCAATAATGGTGCTAAGTATTTTCTGTCTCACTGTTGCTCTTAAACTGTACAAACCATGGCCTCACCACAATGGTTGGGAATTCAGATGTCATCAGTTTTTTGACCAGTCTTCCAACCTGCAAAACTATTGTTGATAACTTCTGAGAAACACTGCAGTTATGTCCTTAGTGTGTCCAGTGACCTACCAAAAAGCTAGAGAGTCATGGACTTATCTTCCTGTTTCATTTGTGTGTAGGCCTTTTGGAAATACTGCTTATTCTCAGGTAGTGGGCTGTAAAATGTCACTTCTATGGTTTCATGGTAAAGCCAAACCTGTTTATAGTAAATATGAGTCAAACTCCATTCAAGATGCACCAGTTTATTTTGAGCTGATTTTTTTCCTGTTCTTTTGGGGGCCAAGTCCTATTTATTTTTTACTGGATTCTCTTGCCTTTGTGATAATCCATAGACTGTGCCTGTGTGAAAAGCATGGGGAAAATTTTGTTTTTACTGAGGTGTCATGGGAAAAATACTTATCTGATTCACATGATCTCAGTTTGTGCGTCTTACTGTGTCTGTCACTGGTTTGATCTCTTCTTTCTTTTATGCCAAATGTTATCTCACTGTAGGAGGAAGGCAGGACAAAAAGTCCTGGTCTAACTGATATCAAACAGAAGAGTTAGATATGCCAAGTAATCCAGTTTTGTTTTGTAGAAAGAGTTTGCAGTAGTTTTAAGATGCTCATTCAAAAATTCTTCTGTGAAGAACCATCCTTCAGTGTGTGTTTCGTTGCCCAGTCAGTGGGATACATTCATTTCTGAGTTTAAAACCAAATCACTTATGTCATATGGTCAGCAACTTTATGACTTGATGACTCAGCTGCATTTTGTTCAAATGTTAAAAGAAGTATTTGAATAAAGGGATATTAATATTGCACTTCTTCCCACTACAGTTCTTCAAAGTAATTTCGAGGTCAGCATTTAGAAGATGGTTAAGTAAGCAAGTTAATATGTATGAGCTGGAATTTTGGCTTGTCACTGTGCCATTGGTGTTTTTTCTTTAGCAAAGTTGTCAAAATATCTCAGTGCACTGAAATAAGAGCAGATTGCTCAGCAGTTAGTGTAGCATCAGTTTGGGGCTGAAAGATGGTGGCAAATTTATTGTAAGTCTTTAAAGAATTTGAAGATTAGGTGGGATGGGATGTGTAAATATTTACCTCACTTAGAACTCTTTGAAGATGAAAATTTCTATAAATACTTATAGAGTCATTTAAATCTCAAGTTACTGTTTCATTATAAGCCACGTGTTAAACTTGGTTCTTCATATCTTCTAGTTGTAAATTTAGTAGAAATCTGGGACATTGGAGACTATGGAAACACAGTTCTTGAAGGGCCGAGTTGTCCTGCAGAGATAGAAGTAGAGGGGAGGAAACCTTAACTTAAAAAGTATTTAAATCATTCTAATGCTATATAACTGAACATTATGTTAAGATTTTTCCATCCTAATGGAAAAGGGAATAAGAGGAAATGGACAAGTTCTGTATTTTCAGTTGTGTAGTTTGTGCTCTTGTCATGATTCCTGCACCGAGCATGTGTCTAGTGTTGAACATTTGTTAGAATTTCATTCTAATGCTATTCCTAATTAATGGCCTTTTAAAGTGAAAAGTATATAATACAAAGTTACATGCTAGCATTTTACTCAGATAAGCTCTTGATTTTCCTGGGCCTATGCACACATTAAGAGATATCGCACAAAGCAAAACAAAATGTAAGGTCTGATCACTTGTTACATCAGTTTTGTAGTTTGCTTAAATGTAAAGAATTTCTTTTTCTTTCTTTTAAGCTACAGATTAATTTGAATGAGATTTTTTTTCTCCTTATAAAATTATTTTGCCTGAAATACACTTACATCTTTAGTCCTTTATGCTTCAGTCTCTTGCATTGTGGATTGTCTTGGTCACTTTGCTTTGTCTTTTCTTTCTGAAAATAAACTGGTTTTCAGGAACAGTACACTGGTATCATCTCATCATTGATATAACACGATTGATGTGACACTTAGTGCCATTGTTTGCTCAGAAAATCTGAGAGGCATGAAGGATGAACCCCTGCCAATGCCTATCAAAATAAGCTTCACACTTGCAAGTATTATTGGGGATAAAAAGGGCCATCAATTAAAAAAAACCTGTGCAGCACAGTAAGATCAGAAGAATAGACAATCCTGATGTATTTTGCAGAAGATACAATATGCACAGAGCCTCATAATGGAGGCAAACAAACATATAAAGCAAAGTAAGTAATTTTCCACTGAAAGTAATCTGTGTGTGTAGGCAACTACTGTAAGATACTACTCCCACAAGAAGGGAACTTTCTCTATCCATAAAGAGCTGGAAAAAGAAATAACAGCCTTTAGGAACCATGAGGGAGGTTTTTAGTCTTTGGAGCAGGCTGTAGGCAGGGAATCAATCACTGGAGGCCTTTAAGAACAGAGAAGTAAATTTCTGGGAGTTTTTAGCTATTCTTGGAAGTGTAGGGAAGTGGATTTAGCTTGAATAGAGGAGGGGAGGTGTGGTTTGCTGAGGTTGATGGCCTTCAGGTATTTCCTCACTGGTGGAACAAACATGAATTGTTACTGCAATAGAAAATATTCAGGTGGCTGAAGTTCCAGTAAGAATATTTGAAATGTATGCTTTCAATGATAATCTATGGAAATAAGAAACTGAATTAGGCTGTTCTGATCAGATATGAGATGACAGCCCAGTGGTTCACCAGAGGCGCTGTAGCTGATGAATATTTATTTGAACATTGACTAGATAGGAAAAGTGCCAAACTGTTTTGGCCAGTGTGTCTTTCCAAATAATAAATTGCCTTGATGCCTACTTGACATAGTTAAACGTTTTTGCAATCATATAAGATCTAGCAATAGTAAGATAAAAGCATTAGGGAAATCCTTCCCATATTTGAGAGGGGAGAGGAGTTAAGCATTTGAGGGAAAACTTAATATCAGGAATTAATAACTTCTAAAAAGACACTAGGGGGGTCCTCTAATTGCACTTCTGCATATTGATTAAAAACAAAAATCCAAACCACAATTCTTGTACAGTAACCCAGTCCTAGTATCTGGCTTGCAGTTCTGTGTTCACTGTACTGCCAGGAACGGTGAACAGATTCTGTTTGGTTGCCTTAGTTCTCTAACAGCTTAAAATGAGTGCTATGGAGTCCTGGCAATTATTATGAAAAGGTTCACTTAGAGGGTTTTTTTTCTTTGAACTCCATGTCAACCATGAGTCAAATCAAGTGGATTTTCCCCCTTCCTCCCTCCTACCTCAGTTGTGTCTGTCACTTTGATTATATCTGTAGCTACTAATCCTAAGTGGAGTAGAGATTATTTGCTGCTGAAATATATTCAAGTAAATAAATGTCACATCTCTGAGATGGATATGCTTTTTATAAAATACAAAGCATACTAACTGATTCCTGAGTTTGACATTAAGTGGGAGGCTACACTTGTAAGTTCCCCCTTCTATGATTCCCCAACTATTGACAATTGTGAGTATTGGAGACAAAAGACAGTGAGATAGTGGCACTATATTAACCACTTTTATAACCTGGTGCTCAACAGTGACAGTGGTACAGATTTGCCTCAACAAAATATTCTCTAGATGCCTTATTCCTAACTTTGCAAAATGAGCATAATACATCCGTATACCACAAATTGTGCCATTAATTCAAAAAATATTGGTGTGTTTCAATATTAAAAAAAATATTATGTAGAATTAAATATTCATTGTGTATTGCTCTAGTACTATTCTTTGTGATTTGTGGTGAATTACGTGATGGACGCAGTGGTGAAGCTCAGGATGAGAAAACTCACTAATAGAGAAGTTATCAGGTGCCTGATTTTGTCAGCACTATTGATTTACTGTCTTATTCAGAAACAAAACTTGATAGACTAACACTGAGGCAGGTATTGCACAGTGACAGCAATGGGAATTTGGGGCTGGGTAAGCAGAAATCAATCTTATTTTAGGAGCCATGGGGCTATGAGATTAACACAAAACTTCCCTTTAAAATATTCCAGTAGGCCCAAAGAAATTGCCTTTTTTTTTTTAATCAGTCTTTCAGTTGAACAATTTTTTAACTCTCGATTCCAAGAAATGTTTTGTATGCAAGTGTGTCTTGAAGTGGAAATAAACAATTATTTCCTTTTCTTGAAGTATGAATAATAGATATTTTGTATCCTGATGCAATTAAAAAGTTGTGTTCGAGTGACAATCAGCATATTGATTGAGCTAAATGGCTGCAAACAAGTTGCTCTTCTTAGTCTTGTGAATTTATTTTGAAGATGAAATATTTAAACAAAAAATTGACAAACTGACAATTTGAAAACAAAGAAATGTTGAGGTGCACTTTCTTTTCAATTAAATGAATTTAGGATCCGTGCAGGTTTGCCAACTTGAAGATATTTTGACAATGATTAGAAGGTTAGTTGGTGCATGAGG